TGTATTTGGCAGAGTCTCAGTCTCTCCCTGCACAGGTGTGTAAGCTGCGAAATGCACTACAGCCTGTGCTGCATCAGTACAGCTCCAACAGAACACACTCATCAGGCTGGAAGCCCTGGCAGCGACCTGGCAGAGCAGGTGAGCAAAGGGAGGCAAGCTGCGGTGGAGATGTCCTGGCGTGGGAGAAGACCAGGCTCCCACATTCCGACATCTGGCAGAGGAACAAAACCAAAGCCCACTGCCAATGCTTTGCTCTGTGCTGCTTCTTTTAACGGAGCGATATAGAGCTCAGGTCAGATCCCACTACAGTGAAACGCGCGTCTCTGGCTCTGGGTGAGGCTGGCTGACAGTCACTCCTGGCTCTGCTAACGCAAACTGACTCCGCAGCCGGCTGCAGCCAGGGCTGCCCGCAGGTTTCTCCATCTGCCCTCGGCGCCGTATTGGAGAGCCACACGAAGGTGTCAATTTAGCACGACTTTGTCCTCTCAAAGTGATACCGACCACGCTGAAATCAGCAAGCCAGAGCAGGGAAAATGCATCTGCAGGTAATTAGTAACAATCACGGGCTGCTTGGAAACTGCTGACTACAGCAGTAACGAGCTGGGCACATGTCATTGGCTTGTAAATGGAGAGAGCACTTATGGACCGTGGCAGCAAGCAGTAAGGGTAGGGGTTTTTTTAAACTTAATATTTAATGTGGCATAAAAGCGATGGAGAAAAATCGAGTGGTTCTCTAATCAGAGCTTTGGCTGGTGGTCCATAACACAATGGAGTTGGCGGACGAAGCAGTACTGAGAACCGTCACTAAATTTTTCCTTAGACATATTCTAGCAGCAAGTGCTGGCATGAATGCCAATGCTTAAGAAATCCCTTGATCTTCAAACAGTATCCCAAATGTTTTGATCTACCAGCTTGCTAAGAAATAGAAATCTTACATTTTCTACCAACAGATCACAGAGGATCTTTTGCATCTCAACCCTCAGTACTGCTTTGCTGCCCACACCACAGCCCAGCAACAAGAACAATGAAAGACTGTGATCATAATTCACTTAGGACCTCTGTTCTCAGCTTTATTTGCATTAAATTCTTTTACGATCTGTCTTACAGACTTAAGACTGACAAAATGAACTAGACTTAGGTCTCTTCACAAATGGCAGCCCAGAAAGTCTCCAGACTTTCTCATAAAAACTGATTAAGCTTGAACGGCAGATACAGAAAAAGGACATTAGTGTTCTTAGCTCAAACCCCGTATGTCATATTTCAAGTTCTTTACCCCTAGAAATGCAGCTTTTCAGCCCTACGCCCACCAATAGCCCCACTCTCTGTTGAAATGTCATACAATCACACGTTCACACCTCTGCTTCACACACACCAGAAGAGTTCCTGATACAAACAACGTTTCCCACCAACAGACTCTTCTGGATACTACAGCTCGCTTGCCAGTGTTTTAAGCAGCTCTTGGTCTCATGACAGTGAAGGTGTTACAAAAGTGTTTATAAGCTGGAATGTCAACTGTGAAGGGAGGTCAAACTCTCAAGCCATTAGCACCACCCGAAACAGGCTTTGGACATTTTGTGGAGCTTTATCCAGGCACCCCTCACTTTTACAGCTGAAAACATACTAGCTAGCATGACCAAAACAAGTTGGCCCCCAAGGCTTTCAGTCTCCTGCTCTCAGTTTGCTTGGACACATCACAGGACAGACTGTCTGGAGCAAGGAAGAGTGGAAACTCTCAAAAAAGGGTGAAGAAATTAAAAGCAACCCAACTTTCTGAATCTCAAGAAAAGACTGGAGCTCAGGTTGGCCACTTCTCCTCCAACGAGGAGCAGTTCACAGGAGAAATGCCATTACGGATCTGCGAGCCAGCGGGCTCTTGCCTGCTGGACAAGGGGCCGAGGTCCAGGACCTGGCTCTGGCAGGACTTCTCTTGCGAGTCAGTTCCTGACCACCAAAGCGGGGCTGATAGAAAGCTAACTTTCTTCCAGGTGTTGCCTGCCTTGTCTACTGCCTACCCCCAACCACTCACCCCAGCCCCAGCTTAGGAACACTAAACCACTGAATTTTACCATAGCTTTGGTCAGAGCACAGGCAACAAAAAAGTTCCCAGAAGGCAGACTACGTGATGTGTTAGCAAATGTTTGTTGGAGCTCGCTCTCATAACCACCGTTGTGTATCATTGCCCAGCTCCTCCTAATTTTCAGTGGTATCTACTACAGATGAAAGGCCAGTAGCAATATGCAGGTTTTGGTTACAAGTGAAAAAGGGTCAATAAATGTGTCTCCTCTTCTGAATCCCCTGTCCCACCAAGGAAATGGGGTGGGAAAAGAGGCATGACTGAAAAAATCAGTTAAATCTTGGGAGAAAACGGAGAAGTCTGTCTAGAGCTATGGTGAGAAGTGCACCACCAAGTGCGCCATAACTTACATGCCTTGCACATTACAAAGTACGGCTCGCTGCTTAAATCTTCCTGCCCCCGATGGTCTGCAAGTCCCCTCAGCTCATTAGGAAACCTCAGGGCAGAGAGCACGACTTGGTCATATTGTATATGCCCAGGGCTATAAGGCCCAGATCGTGCTGGAGGCTCCTGGGCGCTCCCAGAGCATGAGCAGCACAAAATAGTTGCTACAGGTGTTACGAAAGGAAAAGGGAGGATAACAGTCAGAAAACCTTCTCCAAAAATGTATCAAAAGGCATAGATTTTAACAGGGTTTTGATATGCTCATGTAAATCTAAGTTTTATGAATGCAGGTGTTAGAAAAATCTACAGCAATATCAAATTAAAGATATAAATACCTACTGCCTTGTAAAACGTGTTCTGTTATATCTCTCACCCTGTCAAATTTAAGACCAATGGCAGGTTTTATCTAGGTTTGCTTCTCTTATATAAAGCCTGTTCCATGTTTTTGATGAGAACTAGTAAATTTAACATTTGGAACTTTTGCTCGACCGTAGATTGTCACAGGGAGAATCCACGCAAAATCCATATCAAGCTCTGCAGCACCATTTCTATCAATTCTATGATTCTATGATTTCTGTAGTCAGTTTTGCTCTAACAAATGCGATCAGTCAGCGCACCAAACTCTAAGGAAATAGTAACGTAAGAAGCACGAGAAGTGCTTAAACCAGAGTAAAAGAACAAGCTTTGCTGATGCATCAAATAAAAAAACAGCTTTTGGCTGAACCTGATTTTGGCCAGGTGCAGATCTTGGACAGACAGTTCCTTAGAAGAAGACAGAAGCGAGAAAGCACTCAGCTTCTCTATCATCTTGCCTTCCTAACTTTCACTCCTTGATAATGCAGCTCAGTAATTTCCTGCTATTTTGCTTCCCCCTCAAGACATGGCTCCCATCAGTTCCCATTCCGCACTGTAAGCTGTGGCTGCTGCTGGCTGGGAGAGCCCCAGACAGCGATGCTCACAGCACCCGCTCGCCGGTCCGAGGTGCTGCTGGGCTGCACTCATCAGCAGAGCACAAGTGCCTCTAACAGGGCACCAGGGTTGTCACAGGGGCATGGACTCGGATGAGCAAGAGACAAACACCCAGAAGATGAACAAAGGGCAACAGGACACCCATGATGTGCCGATGCAGCCTGGGTCTTTTGCAATGAGCAGCACTTCAGGCTTCAAAGAAAGATGCAGGGAGCTCTATAGCAAACAATTACAGAATAATTTGCCTTAGGAGACATTTCTTTTCAACTTTCATAGGCTGTACAGATGGCTTATGACCCCAAACATGACAGTTCATGTTCCTTCTTTTATATATATATAAAAAAACCTCTCTCTATATATATATATATGCTTTCTCTCCCTACCTGCTATAAGCCACAAATACCGAAAAAGTCCCTCTTTCTGTCCATCCATCCAGCCCTAGACACCTTTCTTATCTATGAGTCTACCTCTCAAACTACCCATTACCTGACAGCTATTTCAAGAAATCTCTCCCCTCCCACTTTGAGGATTTCCTTACAGTTCATGTAACTCTCTAATTTCATTTCAATACTCCTAAACTTTTGGCAAGAAGAGCCAAAGACTGATGCTACATTGGATTAAAACAATTTTGTAACAACGTTTGTTTTCAAAACTGCTCTCCTGCTAGATGAGGTTGTAGCACTTTCAAGACACGATAATACTATACTAAAAACTGTACCACCTTCCCTTTTAGCAACAAAATAAACAAGTAAATCCAATCTTTGGCAAAACAGAGAAAATCCAATGATGAAATCCACACAGGTTAGACACAAGGACAGAAGTAACACACAGAGGTAACACACATAGGAAACATAGAGCCTTAAATCTTAAAATCCCTTTTTTCTGGTTCCCACAATTCCTTTGGGACACAGTTTCATCATTTTCTTGCCATTTGGGCAATCTCCTTCCAAGTGATGTGGTCAGTCCCAAATAACTAGGTGACCAAAGCATTTATCAAATTCTAGCTGTTCCTTAGCTCTCACCCTATGCCTGCTAAACAAATGCAGGTGATGCTGCATTCCTTGAACAAACAAGCTTTGCTTTTCATTTAAATGCTCAGCCTTAGTGCACAATTACAATTCCAGAAATGGTATAAAACACGAGCATTTGTACGAATCAAAAGCATCCAAAATTCAAGCTACTTTGAACTGTCATAAAAACCCCATCCAGTCAAACATGCCAGGCGCCTTTATGAAAAACAAGCAACAAAGCCCAAAAGCAGAGGCAAGCATTCTGCTTTTCTGTTAAATCTTGGTATTTAGGATGCACGCTTGGGGTGGAGGGGCATATCCCGTCCTGGACAAGAGGGATGGATGCTTTGTCTCTTGGCTCCAAGCAAACACTACTGATTTATACAAGCCATGCACCTGACTTTCAACAAAGCTGCTATGAAATGGCAGTTAAAAAGAGACTTTTTGAGTAAATGACTCCACATCTGACACAACTCATCCATAAAGGGCATCACCCTGCAATGTGCACGCGCACACACATACACACACTTCACACCACCTATCGGCGTTGGAAAATTGCTTACCTGTGACAATAGGATATGACTGAGGCCCGGGAACGCTCGCTCCCAAATCTGCAGAAGTAGGGCTGGTTATATTGGCCTTCATGTCATCTAATCCACCAGCTAACGATGCCATGGCTGAGTATTCAGTTGCCTGGAAAAAGAAACAGAAGGCATTTTAGCGATAATAAATGTACTATTCAAGAGCTTTTGCCTGTATGACAAAAAGTAGATGCAATACAGAACTCAAAAATCCTTTGTTCAGTCAGTTTTAAAGGCAATACCCATTTACATGGGGCTGTTAAGCATTCAAAATGCTCAATAAGTGGGTCTGTGCTTACCACCAGTGTTCTCGGAGAACACCAAAATGGGCTTTCTTTATAAAACCAAAGCCAAACTCATCAATATGTAACAAGGATTTCCTTAAAGAGGAAATTTTGTAGAGTAACTGGGGGCTGTAACTGCTGAGTGCAAGTTACTTGCTTGTTAGCAAAAAATGTTCGTGCCAGTTAATCTGAACTCTCCTTATTTCAGTGGTGGCACTTGAAGAGACACACACTAACGAGCAGGTGGGAATGGGGTGTCTTGGTAATGCTGCATTTCCTCATCATCTCACAAGAAATAAAGTGCACGTAAATAAAAGTGTTTGCTTAATGGATGGATTTGTAGCCAACTGTTTCTAAATCCAAATTATTTAAAAATAAATCACCTGACTGTTGTAAGGATGCTCTCTCATCTCACGGGAATTTTTTTATCTCATTAGCTGAAGCTACTGTAAATGAGCACAAGTCCTCAGAAATCAGCTTGTTTCTGTCCTGTAGCCCTGTAAAAGTCCATGTAGCTATGGCAGTCTACAGCAGGTGAGGCCAATCCATACATCCAGATGGACTTCCATGTACACGGCAGAAAGCTTATCTTCGTTTGCCTTTTTCCATGATTTCTTATTGTCAGGATCATTCACACAAAACTGGGAAGTTTCCTTTCAAAGTTCTCCCTTCCCTGTTGCTATCTGCACTTTAAGTTTTAATCCCTTATTTGTGAGATCGTAACCATGCCCATAACAACTGGAGGATGACGACTTCAAGTGAAGAACAGCAATAGGAACAGATAAACTGAACAACAATGACTCTGAGGCTGATCCCCGCTGTATTTCTGCAGACTAAGTCAATGCAGAAGCTGTGCAGAGCTGAAGCAATGTAGGGCAACCCAGGACCCCAAGATTTTTTTGAGTGACCAAATCAAAAAGTTAACTTTTTTTTTTTTAAGGAAACAAGAGCTGACCTGAGTGAGCACGTCTTTCTCCCTCTTGCAAGTTTCTTGGAACCCAGCACACAAACTGGTATTTTCCACGAGCTCAGCACTTCGGGTCAGATATATCTGTTTGTGTCTCTGTTGCTCAGTTCTCACTCAAACAGAAGTTAATTTACATGGATAACCCCATATTAGCAGGTTTGTGTTAATACACGTTTCTTCTGAGGATGCAACCTGCGTGAGGCACGAGTACACTCTGTCACCTTGAAGGATCCCCCATACAAACCTCTTGCAGATGAGTGGGTCAAATACATTCTTCCAGTGACCAGCTGCTAGCGACTCTGTCCCTTCACCCGGCCCTTCACGAATCAGCACTAGAGTCCTCTGGACCAAAGGCTTCTCAGCAATGACCTGTCTCCTATGCTCCTCCCTAACCTTTGCATTAAACTTAGCCCTTTCAGCTTATTCCTCCTCCGGCACCCTCTGTGCCCTCACATTTCCCTTGCCTTCACACAACCAGCCCCTTTCTTCTACCACCACTGCCTCAAAAACGCGCACCTCTGCTTCAGCCTCACTTCTGCACCTTGGGGAGGACAGCCCCTGGAGCATCCCTCCTCTGCAGAGGATGCCAGTGATGGTCCCAGCTTTTCTCCTTCCTACAAGTGCAGCCAAAGCTCCTTCTTCTCATTCCACGTCCTACCAAGGTGCATTTTTCAGCCTCCCCACACCACTCCACACTGTCCTATGTCTGCAACCCCACCTTCCTCCTGCGCTGGGTACGTGCATATGCGGCAGCACCGCTGGGTTTTTTCACTCCCCAAAGCCCTGATCTGACAAGACACTGGAGGAACAACAGCACGGCTGTAGCCCTGCAGAGACGTCCCGGGCAGCTGGTGATGCACGAGTGGCATGGGACGGGCTGGCAGTGCAGCAGAGGAAAAAGCTGTCCTTGTGCACTGCTGTTTGGTATTTCTGATGTCTGGAGAAGAGCACACACCACTGCCTGGGGAAGAATGCCTTATTTCACCCCTGTTGCTCTAAGAAAGCCATAATTGCACCGTATCCAGACTAGAAAATCTCTTTGTATCTTCCCGGGGCACACCAATCCACCAGTCCCTACGGGCAGGGTGTGAACATGGCTTCCAGCTTACAAAGGGGGAGCTGGCCACTTGTAGTCTGGGAGGAAGCATCCAGCTGTGCCACAGGCTGGGTCACACGCCGGGCTGGGGCAGAGGGTGCACATCCAAACCCCACTGCCAAAAGCGGCTTTTGGGGCTGCTGCTCCTCGCACAAACCCAACCAGGACCAGTCTGAGCCCCTGCCTGCAAACCCCAGACATGGGAGTCCAGAGCAGGCTGCAGATGTTGAAACACCACAGCTTGCTCCCCTTCTGGGGTCCAAGGAACTGACCTAGGAGGAAGCAGGACCAGGTCCCACCTCTTCACTGTAACAATCTGGAAGCACCACGTCAACGAACCACAAGTTTGGCCCTTCAAGCTCGGAGGGATTGACCAGTTTCAGTGTCAGAAGCAAGCAGCTATCAGGGTGTAGCACACCCCACCAGGGGCCAGGACGGTGGTACCCCGTGCTCATTCATGTCACCCCGCTGCAGGGAGATAGAGTGATGTGCAGTGGCATGGCCCTCCCGCAGGCAGCGCTGCCCCATCTCACCAGCCTGCAGCGGCATGGCCCCAAACCACAGAACCACTTCTGCGGACCAGAGGGACTGGAAGCATTACGGCTGCCCAGCACAGTGTGGAGGGAGAGCCCACGGCCAGGCAGAACTGCTGCAGGGCTCTAGGAGACGGGGGCATCAGAAATGGAGATTTGGGGTCCCTCTCCGCCTTTGGTCCTAGTAGCTTGCTGCAGACAGGAGCTGCACCTCTTTTGTGATGGCCCAGCAACTTTTCCCAGAGGTAAGAATAGTGGGATTTTCAGGGATTTTCCAGCCGCTTCCCTGTTCCCATGGCAAAACTGTGCCCACATCCCTCCTCAAAGCCACCAGCAATTGGCCACCAGCAGCAGCGCCAACCATGCACCGACCACCATCACTGCTCCCAGCACCCAGGCGGAGCAAGCCCGGGCTGAGGGGCAGCCTCGGCAGCTGCCAACACTCCACCTCCTCACACAGTCCTGGTGGAGGAGTGAGCCCCCATGTCACACCCACCTCTGCGGTCACAGCTCCCACTGCAAAGCAGCGGGGAAACGGCCAGGGCCGGCACCAGGCTGGTGCAGCGGCGGGAAAACTGCGCCCAGCCAAGAAGTGGGTCT